GAGTGCCAAGTTTTACAACAGACTGTCCTGGTTTCAGATTGAACAGGGCTGATTTTCTTCATCTGATTTGATGCTATGTCAACAGTTTATGGGCTGGTCCGGCTCAGTTCCATGACCAGCAGGGCAGAGGGATCTGCAGATCCACGCCTCTGGGAAAGGGGAAGCAGGGGACCCCAAAATACTTGAAAACAACAGCAATAATCTAAGGTGGAACAAATGATTTTACTAAATATAGTATTAGTAAAATACAATGAGAGAGAGAGAGTCTGAATTGTATAGACCTCACCACAATGCTGGGGTGAGAAGTGCAGTCCAATTGAGTGACTGAACAGACGGCAAAGCGCAGGCAGCGAAGCGCAGATAGCAAAGCGCAGATAGCAAAGCGCAGATAGCAAAGCGCAGACAGCGAAGAAGAGGAATCAGGTGACCTTGCAAGGAGTTATATCCCCTTGCTAACTGCAAAGCCTTTTGGGGAAATGTAGTTCTTCTCCGTCGGATGAACATTCGGCAGATATCAAACCCCACCCCCAGTGCATTACATGATGTTATGGTGTGGAATACTGATGACCAAAAATCATAAAACCATGACATGCTATGTTTTGGCTTCAGGAGAAAAACAATGCTGACTACCAGGAACTGGGCAGGGACAGAACCAGAACAGCTGCCCTAAGCTGGTCGAAAGGATATTCTAAACCATATGACATCATGACTAGAAAACTGCAGTAAGTAGAGAAGTGGTGCTGATTCTCACGGTCCGGCTTAGGCATTAGTTAGTGGCTGGTGAGTACTTCTGTTGTACATCACATAATTATCATTACTATTATTTTTCATCATTTTCTGTCTTAGTAATTTACCGCAATTTGTAGGTGACTTAACTTACTACATTAGTTTTCATGCTTCAGCAATAACAAATTAATGAATCTATGAAGGAATAATGGAGGAAGGGTCACGTCACTCCCATTAATAAGAAAGGGAGCAAGGAGGATCACGGGAACTATAGGCCGGTAAGTCTCACCTTTGTGCCTGGGAAGATCATGGAACAGATCATCCTGGATGACATGCCTGATCACATGAGGAATGAGTGTGTGATCCGAGACAGCCAGCACGGCTTCACCAGGGGAAGGTCATGCTTGACCAATCTGGTGGCCTTCTACAATGTAGTGATGGCATTGGAGGACAAGGGGAAGTCGACCCATGTCACTTTCCTGGACTTGAGCAAGGCCTTTGACATGGACCCCAACCCCTTCCTTATCTCCAAACTGGAGAGATGTGCATTTGATGGGTGGGTCACTTGATGGATAAGAAATTGGTTGAAAGGCTGCAGACAGAGGGTGGTCATCAATGGCTCAACGCCCAGGTGGAGGACACCCTCAGCAAGTTTGCTGACGACATCAAGCTGAGTGGTGCGGTTGACACGGTAGAAGGAAGGGATGCCATTCAGAGGGATCTCGACAGGCTGGAAAGGTGGGCCCAGGTAAACCTGATAAGGTTCAACATGGCAAAGTACAAAGCTTTGCACTTGGGCTGGAGGAATCCCAGGCATCTGCACAGACTGGAAGGAGCGGTCCTTGAGAGCAGCCCTGCAGAGAAGAACCTGCGGGTCTTGACAGACGAAAAACTGAACATGAGCCAGCAGTGTGCTCTAGCAGCTCAAAAAGCAAATGGTATCCTGGGCTCCATCAGAAGAGGGGTGACCAGAAGGGACAAGGAGGTGATTGCCCCCCGCTACTCTGCTCTTGTGAGGCCTCATCTGGAGTACTGCGTCCAGGTCTGGAGCTCCCAGTACAAGAAAGACAGGGAGCTGTTGGAGAGGGTCCAGATGAGGGCCACAAAGATGATCAGGGTGCGGGAGCATCTCCCCTACGAAGACAGGCTGAGGGAGCTGGGCTTGTTCAGCCTGGAGAAAGGAAGGCAGCCTTTCAATACCTGAAGGGCACATACAAACAGGACAGGCATCAACTCTTTGAAAGGGTTCATAACTTCAGGACAAGGGGAACCTGTTTTAAGTTGAGGGAGGGGAGATTTACGTTGGATGTCAAGAGGAAATTCTTTACAGAGAGAGTGGTGAGGTGCTGGAACAGGTTGCTCAGAGATGCTGTGGAAGTCCCGTCCCTGGAGAAGTTCAAGGCCAGATTGGATAGGGCCTTAGGCAGTCTGGTCTACTATCGAATGTGGAGGTCAGTGGCCTTGGATCTGGCAGGGAGGTTGGAGATTCATGATCCTTGAGGTCCCTTCCAGCCCTGGCCATTCTGTGATTCTGTGAATCTACTTTATCTATTGCAGGTAGAAAACAAGATCGCTTTTTTTTAAATTTTGCTTTCCAGCCTCTTAATTTTTCTGTTCTTATTCACCTTATTTCCACAATTTTGTTTGAGTTCTTTAGTTTCAATGGTTAAAGCGTAAAATGTCATAGGAATTTAGTGAAGCCAAAATGTAACTGCTCATTCAACACCAAGAATTTAACAAAATGTCAGTATTCTCAAATAAGGTTGTCTTAGTTGTTTATCACTCTTTTTTCTTATTACTTGTTATTATGTCACTTATTACTTCTGTCACTCCAGATTCATATGTAAGCAGAAACAAATGTTCCACCCAATTTTCAAGATTTGCAGGAAAGACAGTATTTCCAAACATAAAACACATCCACATCACTAGAATACTTCATTGATTTTTAGCGTTGTTGCATCTCTTTCCCAGATATTATTACATGAAAAAAACGTATTTAAAGGCAACACATCTCATTACAAACAGACTGTAATAAAAAGCAGGAAGACAAAGTTGGGATAAACGACCTGCGCAGCACAAACGATACTGTTGTCCAAAAGAGGCCTATCTATGAAATGAAAATATACTTTTGTGACCACTCCTACTTACAAATCAGACAATTTGACTATATATATGCTTAAAATCAAATAAATATTATTAAAGCATCACTCATATGCTATCAAATACAATTTTGATACGCTAAGAAAATTATTTAAGAATGTGGTAATTCAAAGTGAACAATAATGGCTACACAACCATTTTAGACATATTGTTAGAATAACGACACTAGAAAGCAAAATCAGTAAGAAATTTCAGCTGACAAAATTTTTTTTAAGAACTATCAGGTAACAGTTAACATTGCAGGGTTCAATAATATAATTTTTATTTTATTATATAATAATACAATAATTAATAATATAGTATTTCTCTAAGATAGTGATGTAATATTAAAGTGTAATTGTTTTAATTTCCATGTAATAACATTTTAATCTTTAATTAAAAAAAAAATCTATTTGAAATCAGTACTCTTTAAAGGACAAAACTATTAGCTGCTCAGATATGTTCTGCCTTAAACTGACGAGAAACAAGTGAAAAATTATGATGGCTGAAACAAAAAGATTGATGTTTCTCCCAGAGTAATGTTTTTCAGAGAACATCTTCTGAAATTAACATAATGAAGAAAGAAAAATATTAGCAGCCGCTTTCTAGGTAGATAGTTTTTCAAAGATTTCTATGAGTCTGTAATGGCTATTTCTCAAAGCAGAGAACAACGAATTCCAAGATTCACATTTAAGAAAAGGCAGTGATTTAGGAATATTTCTAGAATAATGCCTCTATGTCAAAGTAAGAAAAGCAAATGAAATCAAGAGGTAGACTTTTCCATAATTACTTATGTTTTTTTCTTGCCTAATTTGGTCTCCAAGAGAATTGCTGTTATTGTTGCTTCCAAAATGCCTTATACTGATCGACAAGTTAATCAAAATAAATTAATTTACAATACTTGTAAGTCATACAAACTTTAGGTGACAGAACGTAAGTTACACAAAAAACACAACTGAACTTGCACAAAATAGTTTTGGAGATAAATGGGTCAACAGACACTTGCAAAAAGCAGTGCCTTAAAAGTATTAGTTTATTTATATTGATTTTTATTTATGTTGACAGCCACTGTCATTAAGTAAGCATCTTTCCAGAGTATTCCTGAGTATTTTTGATCTGCTTTTCTGTTATTCTAATGCAAATGTGCTAGAACTGAAGAGGCTTCTCTTTCATTGGCCAGTCTGTCTGATCTTCCCAGTATAAAAATCCCTGCTAATGGCTCAACTAACTACAGTGCATCAGCAACACTGGAAGAAACTCTTCTAGCCACTGCAGATGTTCAACACTCCAAATGACAAAGTCTGTCATTTCTATAGTGATTGTCAGAATGTTTGTGAAGACTGAACTGCGTATCCATCAATTACTCATTCTATGTCGGTGGTTTAACTTGTGAATCATCCCAGAACACAGAAATATTTATCATAAGGCAAACAACAGCGAAGTGTCCAAATAATTAGAGTAGATTAAAAACATAATAAGAACAAAACCATACAAACTATACCTGAATATATTCCAGACTTTATGTATTCCACATGTAATTAAACAAAATGCGTGACCAATGAAAACCACAAAATATGTATTTTGCTGCAAGAGAGTACTCCCACTGAACTCCAGTTTTATGTTTCAGACATTAAGGACAGACTATAATGACCACTAACTTAACACATTATAGCAACTATGTTTCCATCCTAAAAAAAGAAAAAGCTTACATCTGACTTATGTTTGATTTTCTATGCCACTGAGATTCCCAGATGTGGCGTGGAAAGTGAAATTTTTGTTTACTAGGTCCAGTTAAAACTAAAGATTTCACATCACATCAAGATGGTACAGAATCTGATTACAAATACTCAGTCTTTACTCGTACCATTACTCTCACAAAAATCACACAGAGGATGTTATGCTGCACAATTCCCTGCTCTTTCAGAGCTGACTAATGTGAAAAACAAAACAAAACAAAACAAAACCACAAAGGTAATTGATTGGACCATTATTTGAGCCGCCTCCTCCTTCTCCAAGCCCAGTGACATTGAGCATTCATGGTGGTCATTAACAGACAAACAAGTTTGTTAGACTTTTTATGATGAAAAATGAGGATACAAATAGAATAAAAACATTTCCCAAACATTTATCTTTACCTTGGCACTACAGACTGCTACGTTAGCAGGGAGCTGGGAAAACTGCTTCAACTCAAATACGTCTCGCATTGCCCACCGGCTCAAGTGATTTTCAGCCTTGCTTGATCCAACCACATTCTGATTTGAGTGCATATATGCTACTTCTTGAATCCCATCTAATACATCAGAAGAAAAAGATCATCAAAGATTTTGGTTATTCCAAAACTCTCAAGATACACAGTTACACTCAAGAAAGATACTGCAATTAATTAATTATTAAGTTTTATTTGAAACTTGTAACTTCTGTTACAATTTCATTCAACACTAGGTTTCTCAGCTCTCTTAATAACAATCATCAGCTTTATCCAGATAGTTTAATGCTGCTGCTATTTCATTACGGGGCTTCTCTAGATAAAGAACAAATTTCAAAGCATCTATTGTTCAAATAGTTTTTGTTTACTTGTGTTTAAAGATAAGTCACTAATCAAATGAAATCTTGCACGTGGTACTTCAAACTCTCAAGTCACATATAATTAAAAACTTAGGAAAACAAAAAATCCAAACCATCCCAGTCCAGACTTTTACAGTTTAAGTATTTAAATTTGTGAATTCTTAATTAAACATCCATCTTAGCATCTTTCAACAGATAAGTAAACATTCAATAAAATATTACAGAGAAGCCTATTTCTTTGGAAAATAGAATAGTTAAGCTAACAGGTAAAAAGAGCAAGAGACATTACTAAGTAAGTTAGCAGTGCATTTATTAGTGTATTTTAACAAAATCATATATAGAAGGAAGAACTTAATCTGCACCAGAGACACTACTATTTAAGATTAAAAAAAACACAAGAAGTTAAATGACTATTTACCTAAATATCTGTCCATTGATTCCACATTTTGATTCTGATGGTCAAACTGAGCTCTATGCGTAGAACTTCTATGCACATCATAATTGCTAGATGTCATCTGTGCAATAGAGCGCATTCCATACTGAACAGGATGGAGCATTTTAGATCTGACCTGAACTCTACATCTCTGGCTTTTACACTTACAGCTCTTTTCTTGGGTATGAATCTTTTCAACCTGTAAGTTATCTTCAGAGGATGAAAATTCATCTACATTCTGAGAATCACTTCCTCTTTCTTTGCTCCAAGGCTTCTTTTTCTGAGGCAGAGATTTTGAGAATCTGCCTAGTGCACTGCTTTGTGTATGCCTTTGTTTCCCTTTCATGAAGCTGAATGTTCTTAACTTTCCTGACTCGGAGTGACAGGGAATTTCAATGTCATCAGACTCATCACTTATGTCACTTGCACCTTTCAAACCTCTTGCGCTGTTTTTCATGTTTTTAAAAGACATGATTTTGCTGAAATTTGATTTGGTACTATGGAATCCAAATTGCCTACGTTCTTCCTTAAGTACAAACTCATTTTTTTCTTCTAGTGACTCTTCACAATTTTCAGATTCCGTCATCTGTATTTCAATTTTTTTAGTATGCATTGCTTGGGGGCTTGCTGGAAATTGGGTAGGAAAGATGACATCACAATTTTCTTCAGAACTGCTTTCAGTTTCCATTACTACATCACTTTGCCTTGAAATGCATAAATCCTCATTTTCTCTGTCCACCTCTTCTTCAGAGTCTGACAAAACAAGACAATCTGCTCTATACATGTCTTGTTTATCAGTTACATTTGGTAACTGAGTAGTTTTCCTGTGCTCCAAAATATGCATATAGCTTTCACGTTTCTGAACATCATCACACTTGCTGTTGACACATGTTCTTACAGCCTGACCATCAGAACTTGAATGGTAAGAGTCATTACTACCACTTCTTTTGGTAGCTTCAGTTTCTCTCTGCAACAAGTTAGAGAATCCACACTGCACTAAGGAAAGCTGTCTCTTTGCTATCATTAAATTATTTGCGCTGCAAGGCTTCTTTCTGTTATTTTTTTTCATGGAAATTTCCAGAATATCATCATCACTAAAATAATCATGAAAATTAGTTTCTTCTCTCTCTAACTGCGCCTTAGTGCTTGAAGGACCTCTAGCTCCTCCATAATCTGGTTGTTCACACTGAAAAAAAAAGAAAAAGAAAACTACTTACACCAGGTAGATAGCGGAAAGTTTGGAAGATCTAAGTCTTAAGCAGAATAATAATGAAGATAACAATAAAAAAATATGTTTTCCAACAAAGTTTGCTCCTGACTGCTAAAACAACTTTTGTTTTTCCAATCCACACCAGTATTTTTTTTTTCAAAGCTTGTTGCATCTTTTCATCTTTTAAAAGTTTGAAAAGTGACCTCATGATGCACACATTAATACTATGCAAAGATAAACAATGGGCAAGCAGACAATAAAACATGGCAACTGCAGCCTCAGACAAAAGCATTACCAGCTTAACAATATATTACTGCTACTGTTAGACTACACAGATTTTCATGCTCTGCTTTGTATCCCACAAAGTATCTCACATTTTCTGAACTGCCATGAGGAGGTTCTTCTTTTAACCAAGTAGTCACTGTCATGACTCCAGCTTCTACTTGTCCTTCCCTCTAAAAGAATAAAAAAAATACGTATATAATTAAAACAGTACCTGTTCAAATTAATGAAGAAAGCCTACCAAAAAAAAAAAAAAAAGTAATTTTTACTACAGAGGTATAAGTATTAAAAGCACAATCACTAAACCTCAGAAAAGGTTTTGCATTTTGACAATTAATTTTCTGCTGCTTTAACCCAACCCATAAATTGCAGGACAACTTACATACTGCATAAATTGCATCTTATGCATACGCTGTTTTTACACTTTTTTTCCACAGCAGAACAGCTGTTACAGCTGAATTCAGTTTTGCTCCATATGCATTTCCATGTCAGACATCATCATTTTGTCAGACTTCCCCTTTGCTGCAATCTGCCATGTGGCAAAAAAATGTAACAGACTATCAGTGGGAAGGTTCAACTTCTACTGTCACAACACCAACATCCATCTCTAATATCATGAGCCAACAAAGTAACATAGGAGGCATTACTTTCAGAGCAACCTCATAGTATAGGAACTGAACACTACGAGCGGATGGATAGAAAAAAGGCTAGAATAAAATTCCAAGAAGAAACTTTGTTGCAACAAAGATGCAGAATAGAAAGAAGTATATATAACACACACACTTAAATTGAATTTGCACTAGAACTGGGCCAATAGTCTTTAAAAAATAGAGTCTCAGTTGTACATCTCCTTCCTGTACTTTTTTTCTGACAATAAAGCCTTATAAAATATATTTTATTAAGCAGTTTTTGCTTAAATATAACAATATTTTGCAATGGGAATTGTTGCTTAAAAGGTCAGTTTAAGCTACTGATAAATAAAACTTATCCATGCATGAAGTTTTTATTGTTGTTTCATGCAGAGAAGTTTTTCTGGTGTAAATCAGAGAGAAATTAGGAGGTCTATCTGTGTAAGGCACTACACAGACAATTACTGTTTAAGTTTCACCATTCTGTTTTATAAAGTGCTTCCATTTGAAATTATGACAAAATACTTCAAATGGAAAGAAATAACATAAAAGAAATACTGAAAAGCAAAAGTGAAAGATTTCACACCTCCAGGATGTCTTTAGTAAGACAAGACCCATGAGCCCTAAGTTTGAAAAGGTTGTGGATGCCGAAAAGTTCTCCTTGATGTTCCTTTGATCCTTGCACTGCCTCGAAATATCGCTTAGCATTTTCACTTCCAACCACTGCACAGTGAAGTTGCTAAAACAGAGCAAAACAAGAGATTTCAGAAGTGTTTATTCCAATAATACATTAGAATTTCCTGGCATCCATGCCATATATGCATCCTCAGTTGAAGAAGGCAGAAATTCCTAAGAAATGATATTTTGCTTTCATTTCTCTGGCAGGTATTGATACAATAGATGGTGGTCAAGTATGAACATGCTTGGTTTTATAGTGTAAGAATAGTAAAGATACCTTTACAGTCTTCTACCTCACTGTTATATCAGAAATCTACTACAGAATCTACTAACAACTCTCTGTATCTTAACTACTTATCTTTCCTCAATACTAAATACTGATTTGAATAGTTTCTGAACTTTACCTGCTTGTAAACTTGCCGTAGGTACATTATCTCCTCCACAGTTCCCAAGGATATCAGTCTAAATACTTTAACATCTTTGCATTGGCCAATCCTGTAAGCTCTGCAGAAAAAGTGAATTATAAAAAAAAAAAAGGATTATTAAAAATGGATTATCAAAAAGAAGTGGATTATTAAAAAACTATTAAAAATATATATTTTTTAATCAGTAAAGAACAAAAGAGAGCTAATGTAGTAAAATAAGAATCACCATTACAAGAAAACAGGAACACTCTAAATCATTTACGATTTAAAAAAAAAAAGAAGATGCCTTTTTCCTTTTCCTCCACATTTTCCCAGTATTTTATTCTCTTTTCATTCTTCTGTAGTTTTGTTTTTCTTCTCAGGTCTATCTAGTTGCAAAGGGTTTCATGTCTTGTATCACAATGCCACAATACTTGTCTATTGAGAAAACCTCTAGTATTTCTTCAGAGTCTTTTTTTTTTTTTCCTTCATCTGCACCTGGTCTTACACCAGTTATTACTGCGTTTGCATTACATATACAAGTTATACCATGGATTACTTGCAGCAGTCTGTTCTTTCTTCAAAAACTTTGCAAGTTGCAACATCATAAAAACAACCAACAAACATGCAGCAGAGTATCTAAATAACGAATTCTGAGACTTCTAATAGATTACATTCAAAACCCCATTTTTAAAAATTCATGAGAGGATAAACCATTTTATGGCTGTGTGATTTTACTCTTCAAAGACAGTCTCTTTTAATAGCAATTATTTCTGATATGTGAGTGCACATAAATGTCTCTTGAAGATCAGAAAAACTTGAAAGTAGAATTAGATAATTGGATGGGACAATATAAACAAGTTCATTTCCGCTCATGAAAAAAACATAGATCTACTGAATTTTGAAGGCTGTCAATATTCTTTTATTTCAGCAATTCAAATGTTTGTCCCAAACTCCTAGAGAATATCTTGTAGTCAGAGCCTGAAAAGAAACATGCAGATTCCTAGAAATGTTCCAGAATGGCATAATTTCAGAGTGCTGGTAAAAGACTCATCTCCATAGGATTGAGGTAAAAAAATAAACAAATGTTTTTCTTAACGGAATCTGAAATTTGTAACATCACTCAAACTAGGCTCAACTACAATGCACTTGCCCTGAAAAACATAGGAAGAAAATCTTAGTTGGACAACCAGGTTACATAAACAAAACAGAAGAAATGAACACAGACCAAGCTATGCATTTTGAGAACATACCTGTCAATAGCTTGAAGATCATTTGCTGGGTTCCACGTTGGATCAAAGAGTATAACAACATTGGCACCAACAAAATTAAGACCCAATCCACCAGCCCTAGTAACATAAAAATGATACAAAAATAAAGAAAAAAACAGTGTTTTTTTAGTGTATTACATACATACAAGCATACTCTTCTCTGACATAATAGAACAGCACAAAAATAGTGGGGTACAGCTTTGTGTTAATGGAGAGATGATAACAAACAAGCACTATTGTGAAATGCCAACTTCTCACCCAAGTAGCAAGATGACTGTGAACTACATGACTTACCAAGTCACAACCAACTGCCACTACCACCACTACAGTTGAGAATACTGAAATTCATAACCATTTTAATGCCAGTTAACATTATAGATGTATGACATAGAAGTATAGTTTAAATTAAGAGGGACTTAAGAGTCTGAATAACATTTTATTTCCTTTAATCCCAGCACACAGTTTTGAAAATAGCACCATATATCTTTCTCTACATTATGACCATTTTAATGAGTTGCATGTAGAAAAATAGACTTGTGACAATTTATTTGTACAGTATTAACTGTTGAAAACACAGTTGTTCCCACAGTTATATAAGCAGTTCTTGTACAAGTAATCAATTTAAGAAAATTTACTACTGTGAGGTGAGAGTTGCAAACGTACTAGTTACATCATACTTAAATATTCAACCCCTGCAGCATACTTATAGGTAAAGCCAGCAAGACAGCAAAGAATTCGAGCATATGCTTAAACTGAGGTAAGCACTTAATGCTCTTCATGAATCTAACAAAACTTCTCAATTACTTGATTTGTATGCACATAGCTGTACCATTTGATAGAAACCACAGTGAAGAAAATCCCACTTTCCAGTTGCAAAACAAGCAAATACTGTCAATTCTTTTATAATGGCTCAACTGGTATTAAAAAAAAATCCACATTCCTACAAAAAGACAAAAGCTCTTCTACAACTACACCCTAAATAATAGTATTTAACTTCTACACCAACTCCTTACACTGTCATAAGTGGCACTGATTTCCTAAGTGCTATTTTCTCCGTTACATATGGCAAAACTGAGAAAGCCAATTAATTTAGCAAGCAACTGTTTTTAATAGACTACTTTATATTCTGCTTATTTAAAGCAGTGGGAGAGGTAAAGTTTACAAGGAAGTGAATGAACAGAGACAGAATCCAAGACAGAATAGAGTCCCACCATTTCCTGGCTTTCATGGAATATATTTTTTTAATGCAAATACAGTTGTGGCTTATCCCTTCCACATGCGCTTTAGTGTAGTGTTAACAAAATCTGAAAGGAGGATATAGAAACCTGACAATATTAATGAAGGTTTCTGGAAAACTAGTATTCTTGGTTTTAAACACTGAATAAAAATTTTTGTGTTTTTTCCAAATAACTTACTGTGTTTCGGAATTTTGGTGTATTTCTTTTTTAGTGCAGAATTTAGACTCCCACCTACCAACCCAACTCTGCAGCCAGACTGAAGAATAAGTCAACATATTTTTCTGAACACTTTCACACACACACACACACACACACAAAACAACAAAAAAACCCACAGTATTTGGAGCTAGAATTCTAATTAAATTTCAGTGAAAAGCCCTAGTGCAAGTAGAACAGACTCACTACAAAAATAACTAAATAGGATATTTAGTTTTATACAGACTTTATCTTTCAACACTTCCATGTATGCCACATAAATTCAATGCTTTGGAGCAATCTAGTGAGTCTTCTAATGCACAGATGCAGTAATTCCTCACTATCTTCAGGGACAAAGTGGAATTTACCAAGGTCTTAGGTAAGCTGATGGCCATAATCTGCAGCTGAGTGAGGTTATAAACAAAGTTGCATGACCAGCACCACAAATCACCTCAGAACGCTACCTACATGCTTCAGAGGGTATCCAAAGACAGTTCCAACATGTCCTTACACCGTTTTTTAGGACCATGTCTGACTTCTATTTGTATGGGGTTAATGTGGACCTTTCTACGTAACTCCCAACACACACGCTTTCATCAAATGACAGAAATAGCAGTACAGATAAACACATGACTGCATGTTTCAGGGAGCTCCACTCACATTCTCCCTGGGCAGGAAGATACAAGTTTATCTTGGTTCTTTATACCTTTGCCTGGTACTTGACTTCATATAAGATGAAATATGGAGGTAACAATAACAAATCAATAAACAATAAAATCAAATACCTGTGATCACGGTTCCATTAATTTCAGTAGAACATACTGCTCTGTGTCAAAGAGGAATTCTTATCTATCATAATTTTACAAGTAAATTCGATGGGTAAAAACATTTCTATCAAAAAATCTGTTGTGTGAAGTATTTTTGACAGACATATATTGATGAGCTTGATTAATAACTTTCAGCAACACCATGACTCAATTTGAATGAATTTTTAAATTCAATATAGTATTTTATACAGTTTTTGGTCTATGTTGTGGTTTTGAAGAGTTAATCTTTTGATAACTCCCTCCTCCTGGGAGAAGAGGGGAATGAAAAATAAAAAAATCTGTCTGAGATAGGAGAAACCAATTTATTAAAATGAGATAATATAGAACAATTAAGAATAATAAATCAAGCAAACCAAAAATAAATGGGAAGGGAGAGAGAGATAGTCAGTCCAATCTTTATCAGCAGGCCCTCATGGCTGGCCTCCCAGAAAAGAAGAGAGAGCTCCTCCCCATCACCTGGAACTGGAAATCATCTGGTACATCTCTGCTTCACACTTCTACTCAGAACAATAATGACACTGCATCAATGTTTTAGTTGTTGCTGGGTAGCGCTGGCACTGCCTCAAGATAATGTCAGCAACCCTCCCACCCCACAAAAGCCAGAAGGCTGGGGATGAGCAAAAGGGGAAAAGAAAGCATTGCCAAGACAGCTGATCTAAACTCACCGAAGGGAGATACCCTTGCTAATGACATGCTTAGCATGACACAAAAAGAGGGAAAGGGGAAAGAGAAAAGGGCGAGTTCTTGTTATGAAAGCATCTTCCCTCCTGAGCAACTGCTACGGGATTCACAATCTAATTCCCAAGATGCAACCATGCAACACTTGCTGATAGAAAGTAGAGAATAATTGTTTTCTCCATTTGCTTCCACAAAGCATTTGCTTTTTTTTTCTTCTCCTCCCTTCTTCTTCTTTAATTAAACTATCCTCACCTCAAACAGTTGCTTGGTTTCTTTTTGTTGGCTTTTTTTTTTTCATGTAATTAAACTACCTTTATCTCAACTTGTGATTTTTTTTTTTTTTCCCTGTGTTATCTTCTCCCTATTCTTGTGAAGGGGGAGGAGGGAGAATGTGCCGTAGTGGAGTTTAGCTAGCTTCCAGTTTGAAGTCACCACACATTTATACTCGCTCATTCTACAAGTACGGTACAATAAAGTGAGACTCTCTACAGTAAAGTAAGTCTTTGGTGGAACATGATTTGAGTGTTTTCTAACTCCCTCAGCAATGGAAATGGACAATATGCTTGTTTCAGATCTTAACCAGCAGAGGAGACAGGAAGGGTAGAAGTCTCTAGAAATTTGAAATGCCTCAGTTCACAGTAGTGGGTTCATGTTTGCCTGCAGATAAGAAAACAATTCACCCTCTCAAAAAAGTAATCCCCCACAGGATCATGAAGTAAAATGAAGAGCATCCAAACTTGTACGTAACAAAAAGGCAGAGGGAAATACAAAGAATCCATGTTAAGTTTTCTTACATTGTAGATACAAGACATATGTTAATTTCTTGAACTCTGTTGAATTCTCTTACAATTCTGATCCTATCTTCTGATTTTGTATTTCCATCAAGTCTTCGGAAATCTAGCCCAGACGCCATACAGTATTTCTCTAGCACATCCAGCAACTGGGTGGAGAAAAAGAAATCAAGTACTTATTGGTTTCTTTTCAATTAAATGTAATAATTTGAGGCATGTTTCTTAAATGTATTTTCTAATAAATAAAGAACTACAAGTAAGAGCAAATCTGCTCCATCTCAGAATCAACATCCTTGACTCTCTACTGTTGTGATTTTATAGCACTCTAAGGTGATTAACACGGGTCTGCCACGGTCTCATTCTCTAGCCCTGACTGCTCACCCTACCTCTAAGTGATGCTGAATCAGTTAACCTAAATAAGTTGGTAGCAACTTAGAACGGTTTCCTACCATATTAACAAGTTAAACTGACTTAAGTATAGTAAACAAGCAGCAGAGCCAACACACAGAAACCGACTGGTATGCAAAGCAAGAGCTCATAAGGATGGAGTAAAAGAAACAAGTAACCAGCAGTCAGACCAGTCTTGAACACTGAACTACAGTTTAAATCATCTAAATACTGCAATCTTCCTTCAAGCCACAAAATGATTCAGAATTATCATTCACAGTATTCTAATAATTTTTTAAACAATACTATCATTTAGCTAAAGAAATCTATGTTATAGGTTGTTTCACTTCAGGAAACACACTATTCCAGAAAAAGAAAATCTCAGAGCGTCTTAGTCCAGCTCCTATTAAACAGCATTAAAGCTTGAACAAACTGATATAGCAGTTTAGTCTCAAGGCTGAGATTTAAGGAAATGTTATGCTTTGCAGTGCTAATGTAACAGTTGTATACTTCTGTCTTAATCTGCAGCGACACTGCTCTAAATGAAAATGCATCAAGTGAATTTGGTATGAGCCATATATATCTAAGTACTAAAACAACTATAAAAAGCTCTACAGAGGGAAGCAGAGCATTACATCTGTTCTACTACTACTATTTTCATCATGAGATAACATAATGTTTCAGCATGCTTCTGGAGTAAAGCACACTTTTCCTCCCACCATCATTTCCCATACCACAGAAGGGAAACATGACTGACAGCTGTTTATGTCCTTAGTGCTTTACACTTCAGAACTTACTGCTGCGGTCAACTGAGAAAAGCCATAAGGAGCCCACCTTCGTGGAAAAGGAGAAGAGAAGAACTTTATCTTTTTTCTTCCAGAAGTGATTTAGAAGTTGCTGAAGGACCTGTAAATGAACCACACAACGCAAATGAAGACATTTCATCTACAGGTCATTTCATGCACAGTCACTCATTTCTACAACATTTAAACAAGACACATTAGCTAACTATTTGCAAAGCCAAACAGAGGTATAACATAATGATTCTTTTAAATTAACAAATATTTAAGGTAACAGAGTTGATCCATGTATTCATTTTTCAGTAGTCCCCACTGAAATCCCACTGCAACGAAGTAGTCCCTAACAAATAAACTCACAAACTGTTTCTATCAGTGGACAGACTGCAACAAAATGCTGTTTATGTCAAGGTACACCAGAATTAGAGAACCACAGAATAGTAGAGGCTGGAAGGAACACTTACCAGGCTGCCTGAACCCACATCCAGCCTGGCCGTGAATGCCTCCAGGTATGGGGCAACCACAACATCTACACTGTTCCAGTACGACACCACCCCTCTGTGTGAAAAACTTCCTCCTAATATCTAAACCTCCTAAACCTCCCCTGTCATAGTTTAAAACCATTTCCCCTTGTCCTATCACTATCCACCCTCATAAACAGTTGTACTCCCTCCTGTTTATGTGTTCCCTTCAAGTATCAGAAGCCACAGTGAGGTCTCCCTGGAACCTTCTCTTCTCCAAGCTAAACAAGGCCAGTTCCTTCAACCTTTCTTCACAGGAGAGGTGCTCCAACTCTCTGATCATCTCAGTGGCCTTCCTCTGGACCCATTCCAAGAGCTCTGTCTTTCTTGTGCTGGGGACCCCGGGCCTGGACACAGTACTCCAGATGAGGCCTCACAAGAGCTGAGTAAACTGCTCCATTGTCAAAGAATCCAAAATTTCTGTGGTGGCACCAGCCTTTCAGCCACTTAATCAAGCCTGTGTTTTCCCAGCCCACTCTGTATCCCTCACCACTCCCAAACGGGAGATATAACAATACCACTCGCACTCCCACTCCTCCTCAACCAACCATCCTAAACCCCTGAAACCACTTGATAGCTCACAGGCTTCCCTGAGTGATTTCATCAGTGCCTGCCTGAAGTTATCAGACCCAGGTGTTTTTTGGTGATATTGCTGACCCAGGCTCCAGGGAGGCAGCACACCTTCCTACAGGTTGGGTCAGGTCTGCAAATGTAGCCCTCTGCTCCCTTGAGAAGGCAATCATCTACCACAGTTACCCTCCTGTCTTTCCTGGCAGAAGCAGTCTCAAGGTATGGGGATGATCACCTTGCCCTAGGTCCCCTCTTAGACTCTCCTTCACCTCCTCATTCACCTCCCCTTCAATTTCCAGCTCCCCAAACTTATTGCTTAGGGGAACTTGAGGAAGCCGGGAAGGCAGGCTGGGGGTGCATCCATGGCGCTCAGAAGGGACTTCTCTTCCAATCCTCATAATCTGTCAGGTCAACCTAACTGTAACTAGGCAGGGGGTCCATCACTTTCAGGGAGTACCTCCCTTGCATCCTTCGCTTCAGCACACCAGTGAGTCACTTTACCAGTCGGTCTCCTGCTCACACTCCCAGATGGTTAGCCTCTCTCCACCTCCTCCCTGATGTTCACCACCAGGCTAAGCAGCTCTTTCACCTGCTCGCAGCTCATACAGGTGGAATTCCTGCCACCCTCCCCTGGCAGCAGCAGGTTCAGACACTCCCTGCAGCCAGAGGCCTGAACAGCCATATTTCTGGGCAGGCTCTCTGTCTGGGTCACCACTGCTTTCTCGGGGCAAGCCCGCTGTCAAGTGGAGACCATGTTTGTACCTATGGTCTCAGAGACTGCTAACAGGAGAACTGGTCTCCTGAGCAAAGAGGGACAGCACTTCAGGTGCAGTTCAGGTTATGAGCATTTGCATTTTACAAATGAACCATCCTGTTTTCAGGGGAGCTGTGCTCAAGTTTTCTGTACTACATCTGAGGTCAGAACTTCATGGAACTTGTCTTAAAATAATTGGTGAGACATACACCCCTCCCCTCTTCCATTCTCATTCTACGCCTGTGGAAACACTATACATGCTGTTTATTTTATAAAGAACTATTTCAAGTGTTTTGTCATTTAGAAACCCTTTGCACTTAGAAAAAATACAGAGCCACTCCTACCCACAATTTCAGCAAAACTACAGAAATAATCAGATACAATAGTCATGAGAATTACTGCAGGCTTTAAAAATGGCTGTAAAAGGCTGTATCAAGAGGGTGGCCAGCAGGGCAAGAAAGGTGATCATTCACCTCTGCTCTGCTCTTGTGAGGCTCCATCTGGTGTACTGTGTTCAGGTTTGGAGCTACCAGAAAAAGAAAAACGTGGAACTTTTGGAGTGGGTCCAGGGGAGGACCAGAAAGATGATCAAAGGACTGGAGCACTGTTCTTATGAAGAAAAGCTGAGATTACTGTCATGCCAGGAAATGGTGGGGAGAAACCTCTGAACTGTCCTGTAGTAATCTTTTGGGAACTGCTCAGATGAGGTGAGGTTACCAACGCCCCATCTGAAACCTTCTCATGACCCCCTGGGAACTAGTAGGGGAAAACTTCAGATTTCTTCTGGAGATTTGAGGGAGGGCCCCTCTAGAAAAGTGGTGTGTCAAAAAGCCTAGCTGAATTGCCTTTACACAAATGCATGCATCATGTGAAACAGGAGCTGGAATGAGTGATGTACTTGGAAAATTATGATCTAGTTGCTAACACAAATGTGGCAGGACTACTCCCATAACTGGTATACCACTGCAGAGGGGTATCGCATTTTCAGGCTAGGCAGGAAGGGGGACAGAGTTGCCCTCAACATTACATTAAAGACTGGATGGACTGTGAGGAGCTCCTTCTGAGAAATGGTGAGAAGCAGGTTGAGAGCCTGTGGCTTAGAATTAGGGATAGGACTAATAAAGCACATCTGTTGGTAGAGGTCTACCACAGGCGACCAAATCAAGAGGAGCCTACTGACAGCACCTTCTTCGTTCAGTTGCAGGAGGCATCATGTTTACAGACACCTGTCTTGATTTAAATCACTCAGTTATCTGCTGGGAAAACCAAACAGCAAGCTGCAAGAGATTTAGGGATTTCCTGGGGTCTATGGACAATAACTTTCTGGTTTGAGTACCAGACAGAAGAGGTGAAGTGCTGCTGAACCTAGTGCTCATCAATGCAGAAAAGAACATTAATGGCATTAACATTTGAGACAGCCTAGGCTGCAACAACCATGCCCTGGTTGAGTTTGTGATCTCGAGGAATGTGGGACTGGCAAAGAGTGGGATCAGGATTCTGAACTTTGGGAGAGCGTGGAAGAAAGCTGGCTACTCCCCATCCATGAGAATAAGAAAGTGGGCAGGGGAGGCAGGAAACTGGCATAGCTTGGCAATGACTTGCTGGTCAAACTGAGGGAAAAGTACAGATTGTACCAGCTGTGAAAACAAGAGCATGTCACCTGGGGACAATACAGGGCCATTGTCTGGACTTGCAAAGAGGGAATTAGGAAAGCCAAGGCACAGATGGAACCAAACTTGGTGAGGAATGTTAAAAACAAGAAGGGATTGTATAGGTACATTGGCCAGAAAAGGCAGGCCAAAAAGAGCATACCTCCTTTGGTAACTGAAAAAGGAGAACCGGCTACAACAGATATGGAGAAGGCTGAGGTACTAAATGATTTTTTTTCGCCTTGCTCTTCGCTGGTAGCCAGGATTCTTGTATTTCTCATATCCCTGACATTTGCATCCCTTAGTTTCTAGGTGGGAACTGGGGGAGCAAATCCTACCCTCGCTGCAAGGGGGCAGAGCAATTCTAAGACTGCCTCATGTGACCAAATATATACAAGTCTATGGGGCTAGATGACATGTATTCCAGGGCTGTAAAGGAGTTGGCTGATATGGCTGCTGAGCTGCTCTCCATCATATTTGAAAAGTCATGGCTGTTGGGTGAAGTCCCTGGGGAACAGAAAAAATG